CTGTGGTGTTGGATGCCTTATTACTCCTATGACCCTACAGTTGTTTGCAAGTGTGAAGTTTGTATTTACTCACTGATTTTGGTTTCTAGGTAATTGTGGTGTGGATGCAGGCTCCAGGCGGAGAGAAGAGTTAGACCCACTAAACATGACATTAATACTAATTTTATTCTCTAACACAGGGTTTACTGGGCTGGAGTGAAGTTACTCCGGAGGAGAAGCCCTGATGTTATCTGAGAAATGATCTAACTAACCTGATGAGTTGACTCATGGGAGAGACCATGTGTCAAAAGGAGGGATTCCAGGTTTAGCATGAAACCTGGAATCCCTGGTTTCACGTTAAACCATGATTTTTCCATGATAATTTTTCCATGGCTTTTTACTGTGATTTGTGGGATTAACGGTTCATGTACAGGTATTAAACCTCTACAAGGGGTACAGACATCTTCAGATAAGGTTTTGATGACCTATAAGTGAAGTTCACTGAACTGAAAGGAAAATGTGGATTGATGTTGGTTAATATGTTTTCCTCCTAGTAAGGAGCTACAGGTGCAGTACCTACTGCAGTACAGTAGGTTTTCTACATTAAAACTTTAAAAACATCTTCAAATGTAAAACTTAAAGCTGATTAACAGCAAATTTAAGAAAAGAGAATGCATTTAATATCAGGTGTCAGAATACAGGAAACCTACAAGTCTGCTAGCTTTGTGAGGAACTAAATGAACTTCCATCAGTGACACTCACAGTGTCCTTACTGACACCAGAAAATGCAGAGTCATCCTGTTCATGGCTGATTCTTTTGAGTACATTAGTGAAACATGATACGTGACAAGAACACAACAGACGCTCTTTTTTTTTGTGCTTAAGAAAAACCCAAATGTAAAAGACCCCTTTTAGAAAGAAAATATTTTTATATGCAGATTGATTATGTGCATCAGTTTAAAAAAATCATCCCTCTAAGCCACTCATCCAAGTTCATCTGGTTTCACCATGCTATATATAACCATGCATATTAAGCTTAACTAAAAGAGTCAAAGGAATGATTTGAAAGACTGGACACGGTTATTTGCTGTTTTTTCCAGTCAGATAAAGTGATCATCTGTTACTGCTTACATTTTTGATTGCCATTTGCTTCTGTTTTGCACAGAGTTAAACAAGCATGAAATGTCTGACTGCATCCTTTTTTGCTGTTTCTATGGTACGTGTCAGAAGGACAGTATAAAATCAGGAGTCAGCGTACGAACCAGCAGCATCTCAGAAGAGAGACTAAGCTACAGAAGGCTTAACCACAGCCATGGATACTGTCAAACATCAGAAAAAGAATACTTCAGGTAAACATTAAATGCTACTAGCTGCACACACTAACATTATTTTACTTAAATTATAACAATGTCCTTTCTGATTATGTTTTTTTCCAACAGCACTCAAAAAATCTAAGTCTGTGAAGAACATCAATCATTACACAAATGTACACGGTCTGCCTTCTATCGAGAAGATTGTGAGCTCAGTGGAGGACACCCCCAGGCCCATCAGCACCCAGATCGTTGGTACAATCCCAGAATGGATCAAAGGAAACTTCCTGAGAAATGGGCCCGGAAAGTTTGAGATCGGAAACCACAAGTGAGTGCTGCGTCTTTGTGTGTTTATCCATTCGCTTCAGACATCATGAAGCTCACTCCCCTCTGCATTGCATCTATTTCTCTCCAGATTTAACCACTGGTTTGATGGCATGGCTCTCATGCACCAGTTCAAAATATCAAATGGGCAAGTGACTTACAAAAGCCGCTTCCTATCCAGCGACAGCTACCAGACCAACAAGGAGCATAATCGCATTGCTATATCTGAGTTTGGGACTGTAACCATGCCGGACCCCTGTAAAAATGTCTTCCAGCGCTTCCTGTCAAGATTTGAATCACACAGTGAGTATCTTGAAGACAAAGCAGCCTGTTGATGCACTTGCTATAGAATAAGTAATTCAAAGCTTTCTTTCCCTCTAGAGCCCACAGACAATGCCAATGTGAGTTTTGTGACCTACAAAGGTGACTATTATGTCAGTACAGAAACCAACATCATGCACAAGGTGGACCCTGACACACTGGAGACTGAAAAGGTACCATGAG